ACCTACGCTAACTTGTCAGGCTGTGACGTTGGCTGTTCTAACACATTAATATTTATGCACAAGTAATTCACAGAGAGGCACCTGTCAAACCAATCAAATACCTTCATAAGTATTTGAATGAGACTGGTTTCAAAACAGATTTTTATAAATATACATGCCTTACCTGACTTTGGTGTATTGAAATGAAATGGCATAATGGGCTGATTTGCTGGACTGAAACATGTGATGTACTAAATTAGGGTGTAATTGTTTACAAGTAACACATGAACATATTGAACACAACACTGCATGATGGCTATGCTAATTCAACATTTCACATAAAGTAAGCGATCCCTGAACTTTGAATAAAAACAGACATGCACCAGTTACTCACCAATAAGCTCCTTATTGCGAGGATCCTGACAAAGGTTATGCATCGCCTTAGCAACAGAATTTACGACTGTATCCACATCTATTTTCAACAATTCTACAAACATCGGTAATCCCTTTGATTTCCTGACATCAGAGCAAATATCAACTGACCACTGATGTGACAAAGCGAAAACAACATTAAATTATTGGAACTTTATCACAAAATGTTTATAATTTAAAAGTGTCGTGATGAAAATATTCTGTCAAAATGACCCTTGATGAGGTTGGTGAAATGTTCACGACTACAAAATGTTGACATTTTTACTGATCACAAAAAATCATATCAATACTTTGATTTTCCATTCACCTATAGATCTTGTGTAATGCATGAACGAGGCTATTTGAATGTTTGCCTCCAAAATTGAATGATTTGAACTTGAACTAGAATTTCTCTTTTTTTCTCGTTCAATGTCAAAATACCTATCTTTCAGAGAAACCATCATCAAATGTTTATAGCACATTATTAAGCATGTAATTAATCAAATAATAGTTTTTGTGTTTGTTGAATCCCATGTGATGTTAGATTTATATGAGGTTTCATAATCAAGTGAAAATGTCGGCATTACACTATTCATTCAAATTGAGAATAACATAATTTGTGATTTTCAAGTACTGTAGAATACTTTATTTTCGCTTGGAATTTATTTTCGCTATTTTCGCTGAAGGGATGATTCCGTGAAAATAAAATCCAGCGAATATACTTTTTTTCCTATATTTTACATTAAGCTCATCAAAAATCAGTGAAAATAAATTCCATACAAAATGCCCAAAAAGCCTTTTCAGCGAAAATTAATTCCAGCGAAAATAAAGTATTTCACAGTACTCAGTCTTTAGGTGATAAACCACACCAATGTACGCTGTCTTCATTTTGCCTTAATTTACACTAAACTAAAGACATAAGGTATTCAATAGTAGGTTATTGAAAAAAAAATCTAAAATTATATTTTTATGCCTGAAAAAGAACAGGGTAGTGAAAATCCTAACATGGAAAGTATAACAGCGCCTTCTATAGTCTGGTTGTAGGATGCTCCAATATTTAATTTTCTCACCCTTGAATCCGAGGCTGTCAAGTTCTGGACGGTTCCAGCAGCCGCTTCCAGAGTATCAGGATTGGAACATTCTGATAATAATGATAAGTAGGGTCTGCACACTTCTGGTTGCCATAGTAAATCTTTCCCTCGTGGCGGTTCCTTCCTATTTCTGGTTTCCATGGGGATAATCTCATCCCTATCAATAGAAATATGTGATACATGTCACATGTGCAGTTGTCAGCTTTATTTATTATATTTACATGTTCGATCATAATAATGTTACAGCACATAAGGTGTGAAAGTGACCAAATAGTGTAACACTGGCGTCAAAATAAATTCTGAATTCTGTCTCAGTTAACTTAATGCATAAATGAAAGATTGAAACATTTTTTGTAAATGTGAACGGAGATGGTCATTGTCAGTTGAAATCATACTTTACGCATGTTGTATAGGTTGCATGGGACTCGCATTGAATACTATGTTGTGTTTTGACCACCATCCCTTATGATAAGCACTGTAACAAGTCATTAAACCAGGCCAGATATTTTAATATACTCACTTTCAAGACAATACACGTTAAATATTCAATAACATTGACAGTATCATGTGACTGCATTTTAACCAATAAATTCACAAGTTGATTTTTACAAGATTCACAGTATTTACCAGAGAGTATTTGCTACTTACCGTGGGCTAGAACTTTTCTTTCCAAATGAGAAACAACCAATTTTGAAATCTTGATTATCCTTTATATTAGCAGTATGTGAATTCGTCGTCTCCTGTTGGAATATTTCGCTACCGATATGATAAGATAAATTCTGTATCGTACACATACAGTGTTCAATTGCCTGACAATACAACAAAAATTGTTAATTTGTCTCAGAAATATGATTTTATTATTAGAAACATTATGTACATGTATTTATGGTTGCCTAGCAAAAAATAGATATATATATATAAGTATCACATGATCTGATCCACATGTGACATTGCGGTTTCTAGTGTTGATAGGTATCAGATTTGGATTTAACAAATCAGAATCACTATGGTTAGATAAAGATGTTTGGATGTGTTGTCTGTAATTTATCCATGCATATTTAACAGAAATGACTGTGTCTGTTTTATTGAAAATTGATGATAGGTGTTGACTAATGCTCCTTTTTTGTATCCATTAAATCTAAGGCTGTAGTCAGTGGCAATTAATGATTTTGATCAAATGATAATGATTATGATAATGATTGATCAAAATTGTACAAATGGCCTAAAACAGTTACATCAAGCTATTATATCAGTGACTTCATGATACTGTATTTGCTCTATTAGTAGCGCATGCTTCTTACATACTGTAAAATACTTTATTTTCGCTAGAATCAAATTTTTTCTGAAAAGACTTTGAATGTTTTGTATCACTGATTTTTGACGAGTTGAATGAAAAATATGGGGAAAAAAGGTATATTTGCTGGATTTTATTTTCACTGAATCATCCGTTTAGTGAAATTAATTCTAAGCGAAAATAAAGTATTTTACAGTAGCCAGTAAATGCAATTTTTGGCTTTGATTTCTATTGGGTATGTGGTTCTAACATAGCAAATATGGTACTATAATTAAAAATAACAAAAGTACTCAATTCTGGATTAGGACTACTTATATAGATTATGGACAATCTAGTTACTTAAATTCAACAATGCAGTGCAGATGCGATGAACAAATGAGAAATGTTATTTTCAGTGGAGAATTTTAAACTTTGAGAGGAATGTTAGTGTCGTAGGTGGAAAATGCATCTGAAGCACAGAGACACTTAGGTCCACTTGGAATGACAAGTTGTAATCCAATACTTAGAGTGCATTAACAATTGCCATTTGACCTTTGAGTCCATTCACAGCCTGTGACAATAGTATTAAAGTTTGAGGACGAAACAACATAACATAATGGATAACATACCAGTAACTAATAATAGTTTAATTTTACTGATAAAATTATTCCACTTGAGCCATTTCAAATTCTCAAATACAATACTATTGCCCTCTAATGGCATATTTAATAGTGCTTTTGTTGGTGGTTATAGATAGATGTACCAAGCAAAGATAAAAACAAAAGAAATGTTGATATATGCTGCATGAGGGCGTATCATGTATAAATAATTAAATTTTTAACAAACTAGACAACATACTTTGCAATCTAGTAGCTCATGTAGTTGACTTCCACTAACTGATCTTAATGCATACATGCAAGAATCAACAAGGCCTTCACACTCTCTCATTTTTTTACGTGATTCTAATCCAGCAGAGCTAATATTCCTAAAACAGATGAAATATTAAAATATTAATGATCACAGAGAGCATACAATTGTAACTAGATACCATTTGTGTCCTGGATTAATGACCACTTAAGTATAGCACAATAATAAAACACATGAATCAGTGTTATAAATATAAATATTAATACAATTTATTTGCTCAACACACATACACAAAATAAAAATAATTTAATTCAACCAGGATTCCACTCATGAGATAGGAGATTAAGTTTCAGAATATCCAAGCTTGTTACAATATGCTTTTTATACAAATGCTTGTTTTTTTAATGTATTTTTTTACAATGATGCTCTTTTGTTTATGTACTATATCCATATTGAGGCTCTAACCCTGACAGATCATCTGTTTAGTATTCTAGAATATTTGAACGGTATTAGTAAAATTTCAGGGATTAACCATGCATAATCTAAGCTGTATTGCATCTGTTATCTCAGAATATCTGAACATCCAAACAAACAATAGTGAATTACATTTGCAACAAATTCTATTACTTTTGCCACCAATATTTAATTTCGAACCCAATGCAACCCACTCCAACATTATGAAATAGCTCATCTCTAACGTACCTGAGGCAACCTGCTGCATTTGTAAATGAAACTGAGAATGGTGTTGTCCTTAATCTAATGTCATGGTCATTGTCCTGATTCTTCGGCCAACCAGATTCCGGTATTATCACCGTCTTAACCATCACTGTTAAGCCATCATCTAAGATGGCAGTTTTTAATTTCTGTCAAGAAATAGTCAATAGAATAATGAGCAAGATTATCACTGCCTTCAAAACACAATTTTGACATAATCCATGATTATTATACACTGCATCGTATATTACGCACTGTATTGTCTATTACACATTTTATCGTATATTACGCACTGTATTGTCTATTACACATTTTATCGTATATTACAGACTGTATTGTCTATTAAACATTTTATCGTAAATTACGCACTGTATTGTCTTTTACACGTTTTATCGTAAATTACGCACTGTATTGTCTATTAAACATTTTATCGTAAATTACGCACTGTATTGTCTATTACACATTTTATCGTAAATTACGCACTGTATTGTCTTTTACAAATTTTATCGTATATTACGCACTGTATTGTCTATTAAACATTTTATCGTAAATTACGCACTGTATTGTCTTTTAAACATTTTATCATATATTACGCACTGTATTGTCTATTAAACATTTTATCGTAAATTACGCACTGTATTGTCTTTTACACATTTTATCATATATTACGCACTGTATTGTCTATTACACATTTTATCGTATATTACGCACTGTATTGTCTATTACACATTTTATTGTCTATTACGCACTGTATTGTCTATTACACATTTTATCGTATATTACGCACTGTACTGTCTATTACACATTTTATCGTATATTACGCACTGTATTGTCTATTACACACCACATCATATATTACGCACTGTAGTGTCTATTAAACATTTTATCGTATATTACGCACTGTATTGTCTATTAAACATTTTATCGTAAATTACGCACTGTATTGTCTTTTACACACTGCATCATATATTACGCACTGTATTGTCTATTAAACATTTTATCGTATATTACGCACTGTATTGTCTATTAAACATTTTATCGTATATTACGCACTATATTGTCTATTACACATTTTATCGTAAATTACGCACTGTATTGTCTATTAAACATTTTATCGTATATTACGCACTGTATTGTCTATTAAACATTTTATCGTAAATTACGCACTGTATTGTCTTTTACACATTTTATCGTATATTACGCACTGTATTGTCTATTACACATTTTATCGTATATTACGCACTGTATTGTCTATTACACATTTTATCGTATATTACACACTGTATTGTCTATTACACATTTTATTGTATATTACGCACTGTATTGTCTATTACACATTTTATTGTCTATTACGCACTGTATTGTCTATTACACATTTTATCGTATATTACGCACTGTACTGTCTATTACACATTTTATCGTATATTACGCACTGTATTGTCTATTACACACACACTGTATTGTCCATTGTACACTGCATCATCTATTACACACTGTATTATCTATTACAAACTGTATTGTCTATTACAAACTGTATTGTCTATTACAAAATGAATCGTCTATTACAAACTGAACCGTCTATTACAAACTGTATCATCTATTACATACTGTATTGTCTATTACAAACTATATTGTCTATTACAAACTGAATTGTCTATAACAAACTGAATCATCTATTACACACTGTATTGTCTATTACACACTGTATTGTCTATTACAGACTGTATCGTCTATTACAGACTGTATCGTCTATTACACACTGTATTGTCTATTATACACTGTATCGTCTATTACACACTGTATCGTCTATTACACACTGTATCGTCTATTACAAACTGTATTGTTTATTGCACACTATTTACATTAATCTTATACAGCTGTGTTCCGTCAGGATAAATATATTATTGATTTTCGGCAAAATGAAAATATTTTCCCATCAGCTACTCAATTGAAAACAAAACAAAACAAAACAAAACAACAAATAGTTCTGGTTGATTTTGTGAAAGGTGACAAAGCTCTTTGGCATTCACAGAATTAAAATGGCAACTTCCTAACAATTTTTGTTATGACTGTTTAATTACTGTTGAATTACAGGGATATCTTTCGAATTACCGCTATATAATTCCACTGGTTTACATGGTGGTTTATGCACTGTAGTGTGAAAATTGATTTTGTTGGAATAAAAATACACACAGTTCATTGCACATTGCTGTGTGTGGCGCCACATAACACTACATATACTAGACTGAGATGGTGATCCCAATGACAATACACATATTACTGTAAAAGGATTAATTATTCACTGGGTTTTAATTTTGCTTTTTTCACTGACTGGAAAATGCGCTAAATTAAAACCCAGTGAATATATATAATTTAACATAGAACACATTATTTAAATGATAAAACCATGAATTTAAAACTCACTGAATATGCCTGAAATGGTAAATCAGCGAAATTTAATCCCAGTGAAAATTTTACAGTAGCTTTGAATTTAAACTGCTGACAGTAAAAACAAGGACAAAACTATTTCTGGATAAAATTTTATTATTATTTTATCTGAACACTTGGTGGTGCTTCATTGTTAAGTCCAATATTTTATTGACTTTTGTTGATTATGGAGCAAATAGTTTGTAATAAAATTAAAGTTATTCTGCTGTTGAAAAACTGGTGTCATTAGAACATATTTACCAGCAGTTAGGGCTTTGTTACAGGATAGAAATACTTTACAAATACTGTGTGAAATTCATAATATTGAAAACGTGAACTTATAGCTGCATATGAATGTCTAATAAGGCTAATATGTAAGTTATGAATTAAATTATAGTATATGGATATTTAATACAAGGTCACTTAATAATATAAACTAGAACTAAACCAGTCGATATATACAAATACTGTGGAATACTTTATTTTCGCTTGGAATTAATTTTTCGTTATTTTAGCTGAAGGAATGATTCAGTGAAAATAAAAACCAGTGAATACACCTTTTTTCCTAAATTTTACATTCAACTCGTAAATAATCAGGGAAAATAAATTCCATAGAAAACACCCAAAAAATCGATTCAGCGAAAATTAATTCCAGTGAAAATAAAGTACTGTAGAATACTTTATTTTCGCTTGGAATTTATTTTCGCTATTTTCGCTGAAAGGATGATTCCGTGAAAATAAAATCCAGTGAATATACTTTTTTTCCTATATTTCACATTAAACTCATGAAAAATCAGTGAAAATAAATTTCAAGCAAAGCGTCCAAAAAGCCTTTTCAGCGAAAATTAATTCCAGCGAAAATAAAGTATTCCACAGTACTTTACAGTATACCTTTAGTATAATATTGGTATGTCACCCTCAGCCAATGTGTATTATGATTGTCACCATATGAATACATATTTACTTTACTATTTAACCTTCCAAAGCAGCATAATTTTTCCCTCCCAAATTGTGTGCAACATTTTGCATATTTATACATCGTTTTCTCAAATTTCTTTGGTAATTTTGAACTAAATAGACATAATTTTCTATTTAGCTCTTGATCAAAATTTAAAAAAAAAATTGACATAAATTATATGGGTTTAATTTTGTGAGCTATGATGAAAGTTGTCTTTGGTACTCGAAGGGTTAAGCGGTTTATGTAGATATTAATACTATAATGTAGTATTAGGGTCAGAATGGTTGAACTTGGCAACTCAATCAAATTAGGTCAGAGTGTAATTATTTTGTTTCCTAGTTCTGATGATCACTCAATTACTGCGAGCTGGTTTTAAGTTGCAGAGTTATAACAGGTGTGACTGGATAATGCATGCATCAGCAGCAGAAACCAAACAAATATACAACGAGACTGTATTGGTATTACTACCGTATATATGTACAATTTATGTTAATAAATCCTTATTCTGTATATTTACTTTTAATTTGGTAAATATAAAAATTTTCTTTTTCAAAAAACTCAGGTTTCACATTTACAGTTTTGGTATTTATGTTGCACATTTTGTGAAATATGTGTTCATGTTGCACATTTTGTGAAATATGTGTTCATGTTGCACATTTTGTGAAATATGTGTTCATGTTGCACATTTTGTGAAATATGTGTTCATGTTGCACATTTTGTGAAATATGTGTTCATGTTGCACATTTTGTGAAATATGTGTTCATGTTGCACATTTTGTGAAATATGTGTTCATGTTGCACATTTAGTGAAATATGTGTTCATGTTGCACATGTTGTGAAATATGTGTTCATGTTGCAAACTTATGGAGACAATCTTAGCACCACATTTTAGTTTCACAATAAATCACAATTATCAATATTTCTATAAAATGGGTGGTGTACATAAGTGGAAACAAATTAATCAATTAATAATAGTCTCTGTCTAGACAATAGAAGTAGACATGCTAACAGGGAAATTTAAATACGATAATATTCATTTAAAAGGTAATTATCATATTTTTTACCTCATCAGAAGAAAGATTCCAGAGCGTTCCAGTGACAATTTCTTTGACATCATCGTCTGAGGTAGATCGAAGTAGTCTTATTAATGCTGGAATACCACCGGCATTTTTGATTGCCAAGTTTCCATCATCGTTGGGCTGTCTGTAAGCCATATTCCACAAGATATTAACAGCACTATGGTGAATGTCTGGTATTGGGTGACCTAAGAGGTCTATAACTGCAGGAACACCACCTAACTCCCTGAAAAATAAACACATTTATCATCATCTATTAAAATATGTACATTGATAATGGTTAAAATATTCCATACATAACTATATTACTGTATTTGCTCCATTAGAAGCTCTGTTAGAAATGAAGTGCACATAAACCAATAACTGCATTTGCTATATTATCAATCAATAAAATACAACTTACAAGTATTTTGAACATTTGTAAGCATATGTGCTACTAATAGAGCAAATGTGGTATTAATAGTCCAATCTTTTTGGGATGTATCGGTATTTTAGTTGTCTGGTTATTATATATAACATACAGTGTCACAACTACCGTAGGAATATGTTGGTGTAAAAACTTGATGTATTGAAAAAATATTTTTAGTTTATTTTTGTCGCGAACATTAATATTATTATTAAATTCAGAGGTATTATTGTTATATTTGATGTTATAGTGATAACGCCGATATCTAAGTGTTAATACATAAATTATGTTAATTAGGGTCAATCTGCGTCCACACATGGTCGGCATTTGACCAATCAGGGTTTGTTTTACTTTTGTTCGAGTTCAGTTAAATTTTTTTACCCCGCTTCTGTACGAGTTGAACACTTTTTTACCACTTTATTTAGTGGAGCTATTTTTGGAAATAAATGCTGCACAGGTTACGTAATGTATCGTTATCAGAAGACCTAATCGTATCTGTATTTCTGTGACGCTATTCAAAATTTTTAATATAATGAAATTTTAACCATTTTGTGCTGTGTTGAAGAGGTAAAGCAGTTAAACGGGTGGGATGGCGGATATGAATTCGATTGCAAAAAATGTTTTAAAAAATCACCCCCCCTCTTTCACCCTAGAAATGATTCAAATTCCTAAATGCATACATGTAAAGCAGGAAATTCAATTACTGCTTTGTATGGAAAGGTTATTATAGTAAAGTAATACTCATATAGATACCATATGCCATATCTATCAGTATTCAACGTAAGCCAAACCTCACAAATGTTTCCTGTCACAATGGAATTGATTACAACAACTTTCCTTTTTTTTCAACTAAAAATTTGTAATGTTGGGATTATAAAACAAAAATATTGATTTTTCTGGTCGATGTATGCATCAGTTAGAAACATACACTTCACAGATTTAGAAACCCCCCCCCCTCCCCGCCGCCGCAAAAAAAAAAATTAAGCCATGTGCATCAATTTTAGAAAACGAAATGACCAGAAATATTTTTTTTATCTTGTGGCCTTGTGCATTGAATTATTAATTTGAACAGGACATTGGATGGAGGTAATATGGGTAATAATGCAAAACGCTTTATTCTGGAGACATTTTTGTGATCTTCAGGAATCAGGAAAAAACCACACAAAATGTTGTTCCAGTGGACATTTCAGTTTACCTACAGTCACTTTATATTATATAGAGGTGTGGACCCTTGCAGACATCGAATCACAGTGATTTTCATGAAATTAATTCTCCAAAAATGACTTCAAATTATAATACTATATATATAGTGAAAATTTATAGCAATGAAAATTAAACTCTTTCCAAAATAAGTGATTTTCGAAAACATTTTATTCAGTGACAGAATGATTTTGAAACTATTTTTCATAGTGTTGGATCATGGTTGGTTCTTGCTTCATTATAATGGCTGATGATAACAGGTAGGGGGTCAAAGGTCATGGACAACTAGTTTAAAATCCATTATGAATGACACAAGAGACCATTGTCGCTACTAAGAGAAAGCCACCCTCCCCTGTAAGGACTTATGAGTGAAGTTATATATTTTAAGGAATCATATTACCTACAGTTATGATATTATTAATAAAAAAAACACCAGAAATATGATTGCTTGTGCAGAAGAAACAGGAAATTAGGCACGGAAATGTCAATTAAATGATCACTATCAAATTTCTATTTCATAACGAACTGGTCTTGGTAACTGTATTTCAAATTCCATAGATGTGATATTAGATGTGATATCAAGTTATTTTTATCTCTGTTAGGTTGAATGAATCACTCAATCACTCAGTTCACTGTCACACCATACCATGAACCTATAGACAAGAACAGTGCCTTGCAACAAACAAACAAAAGACTATCTGCAGGAATGCAAAAGGTTATGCACTGAATTGGACCGATCTTTACGACAATGTAAAAACTTGAAAAGATTTGAAGTGTCTTTTACGCGTAATATGAATAAAGGTGAAAATATTTCCTTCTGTTATCAAATACATGTACAGTAAGTAAACAGCATTGTAATATGTACCGGTATAGACTCGAAAATGAAGCAGAGGATTTAAGCACACTCGTACTGGCAACATTAGAAAAGTGACCCAGCTATTTAATAGCCCTTCACAAAATAAAACCACCAGTAAATAAACAATTTATTTCACAAATGTTGCATATATAGTATGTGTAAACGGTTCTATTTACTGTTCTCTCTGCCCAAAACCTAATACAATTACTTTCATGAAGCAATCCTATCAAATGTCACAACTTGTTTGTAAAGGACATACCGTATTAGCTCTAATAGTAGCACTTTTGTAAACAATATAGGTGTATTTATAGTCAAAAAAGGTCATATTTTAGTACCAGTAATCCAGTTTATAATGAAGGCCATATTTGGTTTATGTGTAGTTTTGTTTGATATGCGTTTGTAATAGGACAAATACAGTTCCCTAAAAAGATTTATAATTCTTCAGAACACATTAAACTAAGCATAAATTGTCATGAATGTACAAGCTCTGACAACTAAAAAAGAATTCCAGTATTTAACCATGATTCAAGCAATACCAGCGGACATGATAAGGCAATGATGATAGCAGCGAAGAATTTGTTTTCACAAAAATTGCAGGACATCATGTTAGTTATTTTATTAATTTCCAAATAACTGGAGAACTTGATACAGTACCAGTCGTGGAATGAATTGATTTTTACAAGTTTGTGGTTTAATAATTCAGAACATCACAAAATGAAACCAACCAAGCCCAAATTTTTCATCTTTCAGAAAATAATCCTGTATCATTTTTTTTGGTATTTTTCAACAATTTTGAATAAGATCTGTAGTTGATTGGAAATTATGTCTAACCGGTTCAAAATTCACAAAATTTCTTTAGAAAAATGCAGGAAAATGTGCAAAAAATGTTGCCTCACAATATTGGTGAGAAAAAAATATGGCATTCAAAAAGTTAATGATTGAATGTTTCTAGATATTCAACATTTTAATTATTTTGATGTATGCAGTGATCTGTCAAATATGAAATTAGAAAATCTACTACCATATTTTAGCTATTGTGCTTATTCACTGAGAATTAATTTTGCTATTTTCACTGATAACTGGAATCTGCTGCATTAAAACCATACCAGCATGTCAAATTACGACAGAACTCACTGCTACAAAGCTGAAATCAAATTTTGTACTTCTACCGAGCAAATGTGCAATGCATTGTGGGAGATCAATTCCCACTGAATGTAATGACAAATATTATCGTCCTGGAAACAGGCTAAAATAAATAACAACATTTTGAATGTTTTAATAAATTGTCCAGTTACAGCATGAAGCGATAGTAATAAAAGTATCAAGAAAATGACGTATAATATTAATTTGGTTTTCTGAAAAGACAAACAGGTAAAATAACAATTTTGTTCTTAATAGATAACCTCCATTTGGAATACAGTAGAGTGAATTCAGTAGTGAACAGATTTAAAGCCATAATTGTACTAACATTCTCAACTAGTTGTGAATATTTGGAAGTGCATTAAGTTGTAAACATAACAAGTCATTGAAAATGACACAGTCCCTGTTAAGTTCTCTTTGTGCTCGTCATATTAAAGCGGAGGGGTTGTCGCGAGTGTGTCCTTGAAACTTGAGTTCCAAGCGGCATATACAACAGATTGTTTATTTACATCAAAACACGTGTTTCATGTCATAGTAATATGGCCAAAATAAAAACAGCCATTATTGAGCCATCTTTGATCTGATTATGAAACACACTGATATGTATGATGTATGTGCCAAATACGAATGAAAATGGTACATAAATTGTGGAAATATAGTAGTAAGGCCAAAAAGTCAGATGGCTGTCAATCGGCCATCCTTGACCAGATTTTGAAACAAATTGTCATGGACATGCATCCTAACATGTATAAAGTACATGTATGTGCCAAATTTGAATGAAAACTGACAGAGCACGTCCAAGATACCGCATAAAAAAACAAAAACAAGATGCCTGCCAGTCGACCATCTTTGATCCAATTGCGAAGTAAATCGTCATGGACATGTATCCTAACATGTATAATCTATGTACCAGGTTTGAATGACAACTGACAAAGCATGTCCAAAATAAAACATTTTCAAAAAACAAGATGGCTGCCAGTCGGCCATTTTGAATTGAATCGCTAAACCACTGCATGTGCATATGTCCCACATAAAGTACTAGGCACATGCAAAGAATGAAAAAAATCGGTTCAAAGGATTCTGAAATATGACTCCGAACAGACGGACGGACGGACGGAGACCAAATTATAAGTCCCCGCAATCGGACTTTGTCCGAATAGGGACTAATAATTCAATAAAAGATTCTGAGTCCGGCTACAGTCTGTTTTTCCAACTTTTGCCGAAGTGAAACTGCACCACTAAACGGCAGACAATGAGGAGAAGCCATGCAAGTGCAATGCACTGAATACAATAAAAACTCACTGTTGTAAATTTATTCCGTTTTACATGTGTGTAATTTAAAGTCAGGATTTTGTCTGAGAATTAAATCGATCAATGAATAAAGCAAACATTTAATTGTACAACAAGCTTTTCTTCTATTTCTCTCGCCATAGATGATTCAACTTTAAAATTTCACTACATATACCGGTATTCATACAGAGCATTACAAATACATAAACCACCTGAAAATTGGACACTTAATATGAGTACATGTACCTACTTAAACACATCAAATTACCAAGTGAGTAAAAATCAGCCCGTTTTCTGGACCTATTAATATGGATATTAATTAGCAGAGCAATTTCAAGACAGTTTAGATAATTGTATGAACTGTTATTTAAGGTAGAGATGCACTTTATTTGTGAATTTCAATCAAAAATAGTTTTTTTCGTTTTTTATATAGATTTTTATCTAAAGAACATTCTGTGAAAATTTGACCAATGAATTCTTATTGGAACACCGTTAACATTGCTGTTTATTTTCTGGTTAAAAATAAAAAACACTCACACGTGGCAATGTTTATGTCCAATTGCCTAATTTGCATGAGTAACCAAATAACAAGACCTTTGATTGACAATATGCAAATCGAGATTGTACGGGTCATAGTTCATTCAATTCACGCGCATGTGCAATTATTCTCAAATCAGTTCTCGCTCGCTAGCAAACCAAACATTATATTTCCTCAGCGTTTTTCTTAATTTTTATCATTACATTA